GGTCTACCGCGAAGCAAAGGCTGCAGAAGAGCAGCATGGAGACCCTCAGGTGCACCGCTGGCCATGCGATGATCTGCGGTGTGTCTGTGTCAATGCTCATGGAATCTTGACAACCCACATTGACTAGCGGTCATGTTGATGTCATCCCTTCTACAACTGTCAATTGTCAGTTTCTTTTTCACCGATGCTCGCGTTACACATGCCTGCTAGACCGTGGGCCTAAATTTCATCCACCACATGGAGGTCAATGCCCAGAGAGTGGCCCTCGTTCCGCCTGGTCAGAGGGGGCTCGTTGCCCTCCGGATCTGGCAAGGCCCCGCCGGTGTGGTAGCGCAGGGACTGGCAGGTGAGGAAAGAGAGGCAGAGCGCTGCGATGTCGTTCTCCTAGGCCATGGAGAGAACTTCTAGGGATTCAGAGGGATTCTCCCCAAATCAAGAACCCCTGAACTGCGTGGTTGCAGCTGTTTTTCCTTCGTTCAACCAAAAACCTTTAAGGAAAAATCACCGCATGACTAAAAAGGGCGGCAGCAAGCATATGCAAGCATTGTGCTTGTCATGCTGAAGAATTCGACCAAGCTGTTGCAATCTTGGTTGACTCTGGGAACACAGTGACTGGCCTTTCAACATCCCAGGATGTGCTGATGTCACCATGAAAATCCTTTTGATGCACTGCATTTGTTGCCATCACCATCCAGATTGCTTCATTTAGGTACTTGAGTCCATTCACGGAAGTGCTGAATACAAATCATACATCCTTCCCTGAAAGACTCCACGTTCCAAGATGTGACTGCTCAGCCGAGTTCGTGCTTTGGAACTCAGAGCTAGGCTTATCTCGGCCAAGTGGCTGCCTCATGTCTTTGTTCCTGTGTGAGACACGGGTGAGACACAGGAAAACACGGCGACACGCCGCGAAGTCACTGTGTTCCCGGCCTCCCATAGCTCAAAGTAGGACTCGTCCAGTTTCACCAGATGGCCGTGGTAGAGATGCGTCACATATCTTTCCGTCAGCCAAAAGAAGGTGAAAAGACCTATGCTCAGCTGATTTGTGCAGTGAACCATTGGGCCTGAAATGCTTGGATCATATTAATTTTGGGAAACACTGCTGCAGACATGTTCTACGCTTTCGCACTTTGCCCCAAGGGATCAGTCACAGAGATTCCATGGCTTCTGCTTCCGCCTGCTCGATTCCAGCCAGGCGGCAGGAGAGTGAGATCGGCACCACAAGTTCGGACTGGAAGGGGCTGCCGGAAAAGTACAACTGCCAGGGCGGGTGCCGCCATGCGGTGGTTGTCAAAAATAGGGTAACCCCAAAATGGAATCCTGGTAAATGGAAACATGGACTAAAACATGCGGTCCCCCGGTGGTTTAATTTTGACCCATACCCATGTGCAGAAATGGCCAGGCTGGACTCACACCAGTGAAGCTTACCGAACCACCAGACTCAACTCTGGAACACACATGCCCTGGTCAGTATTCCTGGTGTACGTCATTCACATGGCTGGTTGACTAGGACCGCTTGTGGTGGTCAGTATCCTGATCAAAGGGTCGACCAGTAGTGACCCCAAGCCGACCGCGTGCTTTGAGGGCCAAATTGCTGTTGCCAATACACTTCCTCTCCCGCCTGCTGCACATCACCAAAGCAGTTGATGGCCTCAGTTGTTTGTGCCCACCCCACACATGGTTGACGCAAATCCATATGGCCATGAGTCAAAAGCCCGCACCCCCAGTGAACATCCCAATCCAAACTAAAATAGGTTCTAACATGGGTGGTGAATTCACCTACCCCAAAATGGGATCCCATTGGTTTTGACAACCACAGCCACATGCTGACAGCGGATGGCCCCTGTCTCAGAGTTGCCGGCTCATCCTCTCAGCCAAAGTGCGGCAAAGCCGGCCACGTGTGCGAAAAGCATTGCCCAGCACTTCACATCCAGCTCATGCCGATGTGCACCTGAGGGCTTGAGCAGTGCTTGATTCGGAGCAACTCTTTTCAAATGGATGTGGGTCAAAAATGGGCTAACTCCAAAATAGAACCCTGGTAAATGAAACCAAGGACTAAAATCTGTGGCCCCCTGGTGGTTCAATTTTGATCCACACCCAAATGTCACGGCAATCCTGTGCTGCAAGCTTGCTGTCTTCCTTTCACAAAGCTCGTTCTGGATTGTTGAGTTGGTGCCTCATTCCTTGCCGCAACTCATATGCCCGTATTGCCGGGCAGCTATCGTCGTCTTCCTCCTCCTCGTAGTGATTCCGCGCTCTTCTAGCAGCAGCCCTCAGCTCTCCGAACTCGCAGACTCGCAGATGCGATCTGAATCTGGCGCCACACTGATCCTGCTGTGGCGCCACAAAACCGTTATCATCATGGCCATCCAAAAGAGCATGTGGATGAAGTCAACCTCAGTCCAAAGAGCAACGCTATGCAGCGCCGAAACTCAGTGCACTTGGAGCTGCTCTTGATTAGCTGATCCCCCTACAACTCCCTCCCTTGTGAGCCGGACTGTGATGGCGAAGTAATGGAGATGACGCATCTCCTGGCAGATGAGTCCAGCGACATTTGGCCATGGGTCAAAATCCCATACCCCCAGGGAACATCCCAATCCCTACTAAAATAGGTTCTAAATGGGTGGTGCACCTGCCCTAAAATGGTACCATTGGTTTTGACCCACAGCTACTTGAGGCATCAAAGCACTTGCCTTGGGTATCTTGTCTTCAAACGCAAAGTGCTCCACTAAGCCTGAAGAGAATTGCCACGCTGCCAAGCCGTGCCATGGCATGCTTTGTCTTGGACAAGTTGCGGTTCGAAGCGCTGAATATCAGAACCTGTGAGCGCACACAAGTGACCACACCACTGAAAAAAAGACGGCCGAGTGGCTGCACAGAAAATATTGATGGTAGAGCTAATGACCTGGGCTGAAGTTTCTACTGGACAGCCTTGCTAATGCTGCATTCATTGCATGCTGAGAAGGTGACTTGCCACGAATACATCCTGCAGCCCATGCATCAGGTAAGCGCGGCAGAAATCGGCTTGGTCAGAAGTCCAGCGGGACAGGCGAGGTTGTCCTGCCCGGTCCTGATCTCAGGATCCGAGTTGTTCACCAAGTAGAATAGCGCCTCAGTCATTCAGACCCTCGGTCCTGGATCAGAATGATTCGGCGCACTGCTGAGGCCCAGGCCATCATGAAAGCTACGGAGCCCAGCAACCTAAGCCAGGCTGTCGAAAAAAAGAACGGAACATAGAGTATACAGTTTTTGTAAACCATGTACAATGGTCGTCAGGGATGCATCTTGAGCTGATGTTGGTGCGCGCGCCAGCCGTCAACGCGCTCTTTGCATCCCAGTCGCATCCATGCCACGGTCACCGAGATTTGGAAGTGCAAATCGTCCAGTGTGACGGTCGGGTCGGACTCGGCAAAGCCTTGGCTGAAGTGTAATGTCGCTTTGCAGCTTTGGTATCTTCAAGTGCACTGTTCAAGCTTCGAAATATTGGCATTTGGCTCAACAGCGCGCTTTAACTTGAAGCAAACAACAAGCCAGCAAAGTACTTCAGGTGTGGTAAACTCAGATCTTTGACCAGGGGGACAACCACAGAATGCTGGGGACGGGGAAAACAATGCATAAACAATGTCAAAAACAGCAACGAGAAGCAAACAAATTGACCAGATTAAAAAACAACTGGGCTCGTCTTCCTCTGAAGGCAACCTCGCAAGCGGGGGATGCCCCTCCCCCTCCCCTGACAGATCTGGGATCAGCCTTGTCAATGCCTGAAAATACAAATAACGAGACTTCCCATCGCCGCTCAGACCTGAAACGCTCAACACACCGCAAAACACCTGTGGAGATGGTCTTCATTTCCACTAGCCACAACTTGCAAAAGGACGGCCCCTCCCAGTTAAACACAGCGACTCAGTCCACTTCAGTTGACTGCTACTTTGTCTACTAACTATCGGAGTGCCTAGATGGATGCCGGATTTTGCTTGACTCAGCGTCAAACTCAGCGCACCACCTTGGTTTGCACCTGGACACCCATGTTACCACAAAGATTCCAAACAAACCAACAACAGAAACAAACCACCAAACCACCAAAGATGCACAGCCAGAACACTTCTTTGAGACGAAGCTCCTAGCTGCCAGCTTTGCCATGTTGCCAGGAATATGACCTCGCTGTCAGCGAGAGTCAGGGCTGAACATTCTCTCAAATGCCCGGTGGCCATGGGGAAACAGGGCATCCAGTTATTCATTAAAAACCCTTGCCCACAGAAAGGGAACACGGGCGCCACTGGGCCACTGGGTTCATCAGTCTCAAGATTGCAGCCGAGGGTCCAAAGCGGCCAATGCTCCGCCCTTCCGCGGGCGCCCGGATCGCAGTGTTGCCATGGCTTGATTGCGCATCAAGCGCAATGGACGGTTTTCTGGAAAGTTGTGATCAGGTGGTTGAATGATGTACCTACCCTCATGTCATGATGCAGATTGTTACAGTGCCAAGATGGCTTCTTGGCATGCCAGCACAACGTGATGTACAACGTGCGAAAAATGTAAGCATCAATATGCGCATACTATATCATATTTGTATATTTAATATATATATATATGCATACATATATACATATCATATATATATAATTCTGTATGTAAACGTGTCATTGTGCAGCCTCTTCGGTGCAATGGCTCCAATCGCGTCGCCTACACGTAAGGCAAAGATCCCGGCTTGAATGAGGCCAGGCAAAGAGCTCAGCTAACCCCTGCTCGGTGGATAAGAGTGGCAGCCAGGTCTTGCCCTTGTCGCAAGAATTGGGAAACGCCACACAGAATCACCTAAGAACAGCTGCTAAATCCGCCATTCGGTATTTGGCTGTGGGTCAAGAATGTGTACCCAAAATGAAACCCTGGTAAAAGGAAACATGGACTAAAACCTGCGGTCCCCTGGTGGTTTAATTTTGACGCACAGCCATTTGCACCTCGACAACGTGACCCCGTGCCACGAAGGCGAGCCCGCCCTTCGCCTCACACGCGCAGACCGCCATCACGGCCAGGGACATCTCCAAGTGCAGCGGATCTCCAGTCACCATCTGCGCGCTTTTAGCGCCAGACCCTCGACCCTCCCACCAGCTAACATGGTTTGGTGCAACGAGCCCTGTAGAAAGAGTCTACTTTCCTCTTGGTTAGTTGGCCTTTTTGCACTTCCAGGTCAATGGGGCGGGAGGGTATGCGTTCTGTTTATGCTGTCCTCTTTGGGTGGTATTGTTCAAAAGAGAAAAAAAGGCCACCACCCTGTTGTTGGGTTCCCCCTCACACACCAATATGGACGTGGAAAAACAAGAGAGTAATTTAGAGCTCCTTGTGTCCATCCCAAACACAACGGCATATTCTTGACCGACTCTCACCAGCGGGGCCATGCGCCTTGGGCATTTCATCTCTGCATTCAGCCGGTGGAAATAGAACAGGAGGCTTGATCAAATGGGGCAGTCCCGTTGAATGCTCGAGCTTCTTCGTTCCGCAACAATCCTGCCTTTGGATTCTAGCCAAATTGAGGAAAGCTTTAGGATCAGAAAAACCGCGGTTAAGAAGTCATTCCCTCTGCCTCGTGCAGCTTCATCGCCAAAGTACGCAAGGCTCCGAAGCACCTGGGTAGCACGGGGATGCCCACTCACATGCCATGCCAGTCGCAGCAAGGCACAAAGTCGGCCAAAACAAGCTTTCATGCTACTGAGATTCTGTCATATCATTTCGACATGGATTGTTCGAAGTGGTTGTGCCACGGATTACGCCCAATTCTGAGATTCTCAGAGACCTGATATCTTTCTAGGCTCTAGGTGTGCGCCTTTGCCAACAAGCAAAGCAAGCTGTTTATCATGTGCGGGAGTTCCATTTTTCCTCTGACATTAGTACGTCTCACAATCAGGGACTGGCCAAACACGGTTGATGCCCCTTCTTGCTTTCCTCTGACCCTGGCAAAAGCATCTGCTGTGCACCTCGTTTGCACACAGACTCACATTGGGGGCGCTCCAATTCCCGACGGTGCTGAACGGGAAGAAACTTTTGCCAGCGACTTTCCCGTTCACACCGCCCTGAGTTGCAATGAAAACCTTGTACCAACCTACCCAAAACCCATGCTAAGACTAAGAAAAATGGACAAACAGCTTCTTGCCTCACCTATGGCAAGAGGATCGGCTCTCAGCTTTTGGACTTCCCCTGAAGACCTCATCAAAGGAAATTGATTTTGAGGCCAAAAGGGTGATATTGAACACAACCTAAACGGGGAAGCACGAGTAGGATGATTGTTGATTGTGGCCCATTCGGGGTTGTCTCTAAACAGAAGAACCCGCCCACCAAATAAGGGCGAGAGGTTCCTTTTAGTTTCCAGTTGAACAACGACCCCCAAACGCATCTTCCAAGCCACTGATGCTGTTTTGTCGAGTACCATTGTCTGTCTGAGATTATCCTCTTTTCAGTTTAAAGTAACCACTTCTGTGGGTCCCAACCATGTTTGACACAAACACACTGAACTGTCAAAGGGAAACCAGTGTCCTTGTTCAAAGGACCCCAAAAAAAACAGAAAAACGGAACAGGTCACCCTGAGCGTGGAACAAAGCGCATGCTCACAGCGCGCCGCTCTCAAAAAAAAACATCATAGTGGTCTTCCTGTTGGCTTGCCTTGAACACCACCCAAAAACACGGGCGAACTACCCTCAAAAAACACAGGTGGGTCTGAATCTTAATTAGGGACCCTTCGGTGGACATCATCCAGGTGGGGTTTTATGACTACCAACCACTTTCCAGGGAGTTCCTTACTGAAAATTCATGGCCAGGTCACACGCAGCCGACCGGCACACCCCGCCAACGCCACGCGCGCGCGCCCGAGGCGTTCTCTCTGGGCCGCCCGGCGCGAAGGCGGCCAGGAAGGCGCGCCTGGGGCGGATGGGCTCGTCCGGCAGCGCCAGGCGCCTGGCGCCAAGGCGAGCCAAGGCCACGAGGTCAGGCACTGAAGGGAGATACAACGGGCGTGTCCTGATTCTTCTTTGGGGAAACCGGGAAACCCTGTTTGGTTTTGGTTGTTTTAAAGGAAAACCAGCAGGAAAACCGGCTGGCAACTTGTTTTTTTTTTTGGGGGGGGGTGGGTTAAAAATAGGTACCCCACTTGGGTTGCTCTGGTAAAAGGAAACATGGACCCAATTCAGCTGTCCATCCTGGTGGTTTAATTTGACCCATACCCACATGTAAGGCCGGAGACCAAAGAACTTGGAACTATGTTGCGGGGGTTCGGCTCAGTCACAAGTTTGCACTGGGTGATTCTGATATGCATCCGTGAGTCTGGGAACAGAGGTTGTCCATTCCAATGTACAAGTATCTGCTTACCACCGGGGTTGGCCGACATGGAAGCGCTTCGGTCTCACTGAACCGCCTTAAGCTCAGGGGTGAGGTGTGCCAGTTCCAATGTTGTGGCCCAGCATTCACGGGAAAGGGTGGACAACGGGAAATCAACACATCTTTTTGTTCCGGCAACAAGGGCGAGAACCAATTGGGGGCCGGCATTTTGCGAGCCATCGATTGCGGTCGATTTGGCCACGGCTTGGAATGGACCGTGGTGCACCCGTCTTGCAGGCCCGTGCGTGCTGAGAGACAAACTGTGTGGTGTTGAGTTCGGCGAGTCGACAAACATCTTTAGGTCTGCAGGTTCCATTGGTCGACGTCGATCTTGTCGTGCAGTATCTAAGTTGCCACAATCCTCAGTAGTCTTGGCTGGACCGAGTAAGTTCTTCGGTGCGTGAAGGTCGCAAATGGCATGCGGCAGGTGCAGCTATCTTGGCGTCAGGGTGTCAGCGGACACCAGTCATGTTGGAGCTGAGCCTAACGTCGCTGTTGATGTTATGCCCCACATTGCTAGTTGCCGCCGCATCTTGTTAGCGAAAAGACACCACTCCTCAAAGGACACGCTAGCACCTCCTATTCGGCTTGCTAGATCGCGCATGGCTTCCGCCTCATGATGCAATTGCTGAACCTGCCACGGGACATCCGGGACCGCTGTGCTCCACGCACGCCTGACGCTGATGGCCATCCAATCTTCTGCTGGCATCGCAAACTCCTCAAGGCTCAGGACTTGCAGGTGGTAGGGGCCATGACAAAGCCTCCACAGAAAGCGTGGCGCACCGGGCTTGAGCGTGTTGTCAGCGACAACCGCAGCTCCGGGACTTAGCAAATGGCGAGTCTCCAACGTCTCGAGGTCCTGTCACGGGTGATGCGCGCTTAGATCTTCAGGGTTTGGCTACCAGTGGCGGGGTTGCATGGCCAGTCTCTGTTGGTCATCGCTGTTACTGCACGTTGCACATGCTGCTTTGAGAAATGGCCATGGGTCACAAGCGTACCCCCTGTGAACATCCCAAATAGACGAAAATGGGTGGTGAATTCACCTACCCCAAAATGGTACCATTGGTTTTGACCCACAGCCAAATACTCTCTCCGCTCTGGAACTGCGGGGTTGGTCCTCCTCATACCTGGAGCCTCGCTGGTCCATGAAAACCACGCTGAAATTCTTGTGCGGAAAGCTCGGAAGCAATCTTCTGCTGTGGCCAACCCATACTCGGATGGCACCTGCATCGACACCTGCCCAGAAAAAGCCCAAAGGCAGTCAGTGCAATTTCACTGTCATGAAAGGCCGAAAGCTGGTGTCAGCCAGGATTACTATGATCAGCATCTTATTTTTTCATGGTTGCCCTCAGGGACAGGCAAACACATCTGGCCAAAGCTGCAATTGAACCCTACATTGCGAGTCAACTTGGCACCATTCACCATGTTGCAATGCTTGGCAGACCGCTATGGCGGCGATTGAGCAGCCTGCGGCTGCCAGGAGATTGCAGGCGATAACAGCATGTACTGGGTCAGCTTCCAGGCTGTGAATTTCCGGGGAAGCCTGGCAGGGCGAGCCCGTTCAAACACGGCTGAGCTGACGATTCAAGAAGGGTGTGTGTGTGTGTGTGTCACTTTTGCGTTCCTGGGCGAGATTATGATGGTGATTTGTCATGAGTGGGAGGTAATGGTCAAAACCAGGTATCCAACAACTCAAGAATCCAAAGACCTTCTTACCGCAGTTTGCGGTTGGGACTGTCCCCTACCTTCTGCCCAGGCTTTGAGTTTGGCGAAAGAAAACCATGTTGCTCGATTACAAAAAGGCTTGCCGAAGGCCTCTTGAACAATCATCCAGCTGATCCAATACGATGCGCTCCACCAAAACACAACTCTACAACGGGCCGGTGTTCAAATTTGGCCTCCTGTCTTTTTTGTTTGTCGCTTGGTCTCTTTTGAGCAAAGTACCACAAAGGAACCATAGCCATCCCGGCTAGGCTCTCCTAGGTGGCCTATGATCTGCTTCCTAAACAATTTGGGTTTGCCCCAAGATTGAAACACCATCCGAAGCGGGTCCAACCGATTCGAAAGCGAAACATGCTTTATGTTTAGATTTCAGATATTGTTTGCCGTGCCAGACACAGGTTGCGGGGGCTCCTCAATTTGGAGACCCACACACACTCACAGATTGTTTTCCTCAAATGCTAGGTTCTTCCCCTCCGTAAACAGGGCTCTTACAAAAACTTAGCTTTGTGCTCCTAAATCGCAAACTGCTGGAAATTCAAAGACCAAACGGGTCCACCGCCAGTCGTCCTATGACGAACCTGTCCTGGAGGTGCCGGAGAGCCAGGTGCATGCGCAGCGCGGAGTAGCCGCAGTATGTGCCGATCTCCAAGATGTTTCCCTTCGAAGCGCCGCGAAGCACCGCCTGCGGAATATGACACCATTTCCACTGGCACGAAGTGATGCGGGTGGCTTGGCTCTGGGGGGTTTTGGGAAAATGAGCGGAACTGCGGAACCGCAGAACCAACCATAGAATTATAGAACCGTGGAACCACAAACCCAGTGGAACCACGGAACCGCGAAGAACGCGGTGTGTTTATTTGGGCTCCGCGCCTCCAGGACTTGCGCCTTTCCGGTGCCCGCCACCTTCAGCCAGCGACTGCGCTTCGCCAGGCCAAAGTCTTCGATGGCGCGGCACACCTCGCCGGGGCCCGTGGGCTCACAGCGCAGCACGTGGCGCAGCAACTGCAGCTCCTTGGAGTACCTCGTGGCTCCAAACGCGCGAAACGACACGAGCTCCAAGCAAAGTTTGCTTATTTGGCCATGGGTCAAAACCACGGTTTTCCCCCAGTGAACATCCCAATCCCCACTAAAACAGACCAAAATGGGTGGCGAATTCACCTACCCCTAAACTGGTACCATTGGTTTTGACCCACAGCCACACGAGAAAACAAACATGGGGGGTTCCCTGAGACAATTTGCCCCATGTCCAGGTGCAGCAAAAACCAGCTTCCTTATGGTTTCCCTCTCAAATCATCCAACGAGGGGTTCCCTATTTTGCGAAAGGTGCCGCTAATATGGCACACACTCAAGTATCAGGCCACACCACCGATCGTCATGATCATCACAATATCACCTTATTCCTAGAGAAACACCCTCTTTGCGGGTTACGCCCTAAGGGCATATCTGACCCACCCCTCGCCTGTACAGCCCTGGTCTCCCTGGCTTCAGGCGACCCGCGGGGGTGCTCCGCCACTTCGCCGCCAACTTCGGGTGGCGGAAGGCCACGGCGGCCGCCGCCGCCGCTGCCAGCTGCGGCTCCGCGGGGAGCGGCGGCAGCACGCCGTCCACGGTGGCGCAGGGGAGCAGCGAGAAGAGGTACGACTCCACCTGTGGGGCAAAAACAAAGACTAAAACAAGGGCTAAAAAAACCTGGTAAATGGAACAAAAACACCTGGGACTAAAACCTGGGTGTGGGAACCCTGGAAAATGGAAAGGACTAAAACCTGCGGTCCCTTAGTGACCCATACCCACCTCTGGACTCTGAGTCTCGCTGATCAACGCCGCCAGCGCGTGGATGCTGGGAGCATATCCAGACCGCAACAGGGAGCAAAGCATCTTGAGGCCCTGCGCCCAGGCTGCAGCATTGCAGCAGGCCAAAATGCTGGTGCTGGCGCTAGATGGGTCAACACCAAACCAAACTGCTCGAGCTTCGTACATCGAAACGGCCGCCATCCAGTTGGTGTTCTTCTCCCCTGCACTTACCAAGGTGTTGTAGAGCAATCCATCTGGCGGCAACGCCTGCTGCCTGATATCCGTCACTGCCGCAAGTGCCTCAGTCCAACGGCCTTCTGAAGCACATGCTTTCACCAAAGATGCCCAGGCCATGGTATCGCATCGAACTTTGGAGCTGAGGCTCTGGAAGAGTCCTGCAGCTTGATGCCAGGCCGCGGACTGCATTGCGGAGCTGCTTGCTTGCAGGCCCTCTGCTAAGGCAGCAGACGTTTCCCAGGCCCAAGGACCGGCGCAAGCCTTGGCCTGGATATTCCGGGAGATCTGGTCGCCCTGGAAATGCAGGGACCGCCGCCATTGCTGCGATTCCGCACAAGCGTTCAGGATCCCGTTCACGGATGTGAGATCAGATTCCAGGCGGCCGAACTGCAGGCCGGAGAACAATACGAGAGCCTTCCCCCAACGACTTGCTCGCTCACAGCCCATGATGGCAGCAGTGCAGCTCCTTATGTTCGAAGCAGCTCCCATGATTCGCAAAGCAAAGGCCTCAGACTTGGTGACAGCTCACAGTGGATCACCAAACACCTGAATTACCTTGTAGGAAAAAGCGAAAAGATCCAGACGCAAGGTAAACGCAATCCAAGTGTCCCACTCTCCAGTCTGCGCGCAGGCGCTGGCCACTGCCGTCACGCTGCGTGCCGTGGGCTCCGCCAAAAGCTCCACGCCCACCCGCCAGGCGCCGCCCTTGGCCGCGGCGGCCGCGGCCGCGCCCAGCACCACGGCGTCCGGGCGGCAACTTGGAGCGAAGGCCCCGAAGGCGCCCAGCACCGCCACCGCCGCCGTCCACGCGGAGGCGCGGCCCCGCGCCGCCAGGGCCGCCGGCGCCACCGCGGCCGCCACCACGGGCTGCAGCGACAAGAGCTCCGTGACCGAGGCCCAGGCGCCGGACTTCAAAGTCTGTAGCAGCGCTCGGGTCGACCTCTCAGGGCCACGGATCTGGGCTCTAGGCGCGCCTTGCGTCACAGCCATTGCTCATCGTGCCTCGCCTTTTGCCCATTGTATTGCTCACGCCCGAATCCACATCACATGGCTCTTGTACATTCACGCTCGTTTTCTAGGGGATATGTTGAGCCATGGCCGCTACGTCGACGCTTTGCACTCCAATCACAAAGTTCACCGAGCAAGCCCGGTTTGCCTTTTGGAAGTGTCGCAACGCGTGTTTTGCATCATCCCCAAACAGCCATCTGCATCAAAATTAAGCTTCACTTTCTTCAATCGTTTAGAGTGGTTCCCAGCTTGACACAGCCAGCTCGGTCCCCAAACACACTGATACACATCCCTGCCTGAGGACCGCCCGCAGCACCGACAGAATGGACGGCAAGTCCTCTGTCACCTCCTGCGAGAGCGCTTGCGCCACTGCTTCCTTCCAAGACGCCACTGCTTCTCCCACCTCTGCCACCAGCGACGCAATGCGCCCAAAGTCCAGCGCAGGGGGAACTGGCAGCAGGGCCGTTGCCTCGCAGCAAAAGCAAGGTGCTTTTTTAACTTCCAACTTCACAATCACACACGCAGCCGGGACTGAGTTGTCACGGGCGCCGCGCTGTGCGAGCCCTGGACTCGATGCTTCTGGCGGAATGGAGCCTTCTTACCTGCAAAGCAATGGGCACGGCGAATTTGAATTCAGCACCGCAGTTCCACGTTTTGCCCGGGGAGACCAGATGTGCAGTTACATGTGGAACCATGGTTCAATCCATCTGATCCCACTACCATCGCCGAGCTGCGTTCGCATTGGAGTTGGAGGCGTTTAAGCTCGAGGCAGAGCTTCCGCGGAGTGCCTGACTTTGATGTGCGGCCAACGTGCCAGTGGCAAGGAAATTGATCTCAAATGACCCTGGATAGCTCGAAAGACTGCCATCTCCAAGCCGCAGTGCCTCTCGCGACATGGGCCAAAGTCGCTCCTGCGGCATCAGTGGCTCCAAACACGTCTCAACACCGGCTCAGCCAATTGATCAACTTGTTTCTTCCGTCAACAATTGGACCATGTGCCCCTGTTTGCACACGAAGGCCAACGATGTTGAGTACTAAACTGAAGTAAGTTAGCAAGTTGTTTGTTGCGCTTGTACTGTTCGCCCGTGCACAAGACTGAGCCTGGGAGACCATGACGCCCTGACCAGGACTGGAGCCGCCCTGCATATGCTCACGGCAGTTGGCACAATCACATGGCAAGCCGTTAACCTAAGCCACCCTCTCTGCCCAGATACACCTGATGGAACACAGCTCAACGTTGTTGAAGCAGTCAACACGGAGGTCTGCGTATTTCCCAACATTTCCCCTGTTCTAAACAGCCGGACATTCCAAGGCAGAAAACCACCCTTTTTAAGTCAGACCCACCACCCCGACAAGAAAAGAAGTCGGTATTCGGTGCGTGTGTTGCCTTAGAGGCCTGGCAATGTCATCGCATTCTCCCGCCTGCGGCTCCAAGTCGGAGCTGAGCGCGCGCGCGAGGCTTGCAATGGACGGCCGACCCACGGGCCGTGCAGGCTCCTGCCAGCTGCAGAGGCTCGAGTGCTCCCTTCTTGGGGTTGGTTGCAAAGGAAACTCAAAGGAATCCTTCCGATTTGGGGGCTGCCGAATTGGTTTGACACGCACAGAGCAGACAGAGAGGCGCCTGCACAGGAGGCGCCTCCTCAGACCATCTATCAAGCAACATCAAGCCAGTAACTTCACATGAAATCTTGGCTATTGGAAGCCAGACATGCAGCCCTGGTCTGATGCATTCTGGGGCCCAGGCGGGTCTTCGTGCCAGCGACCCGAACAAGCGCCGGGCATCGCAGGCCTGAATTTCGGCTCTCTGGCTTTATGCTCTCCTTGTTAGTTCATTTATTTGGTTCCCTTGAAACTGGGTGGGACATAGGGAAACATCGAGCAGGTCTCAAAAAGAACTACAGACTTAGTGGCAAGACCACCCGTTGCTCAAATGACTCCAAGCTGATCGAGCTTTGAAACTGCCGGTCCCTCGCCTGCTTCTGCAATTCCGGCAAGGCGGTTCCGCCCGTGCAGAGCCATTCCTGAAGCTCCTTCGCATGCCTCGGCCAGCGTGCTGCAGCACTTCAAGTTTCGAGGCGATCTTTCTCAGGGTCAAAGATAAGTACCCAAAATGGAACCCTGGGAAATGGAAATGAGGACTAAAACCCACGGTACCCCCTGGTTAAATTTTGACTCATACCCAGTATCCTTGGGTTCCGCCGTGTCTTACTAAGACCTGACATTGCCCCAACAGCCTTCGACTTTGGTGGGACCTAGCCATCACTCAGACCCTGGCGACGCTTGCTCCGCTCCGTGGCCTGTCAAACGCGGGCCACTGCCGGTCAACTCGGCTGAGGGGCGCACCTGGCGCCTTGCCCAACCTGGCACAAGAAGCTCGACTTGGGCGACCTCTTGCGCTTTCTGACTTAGAAGGAGCGTGTGTTTACCAGGGCAAACAAGGTGTGACCAGGCACACTCTTGAAAATACCTCCACACGTCATCTCTCAACATTCCCTCACCCTATCTGCTGCCTCTGCACGGCATGATTCGCCGTGGTCAAGCCGAAGTTTGCGATGCGCAGCATCTCATGCCTCAGTAGCAGCGCCAGTCAGATCGGTCAGACCCGCCCTTTTGCATCATCGCTTTATTCGAACTGCAAAGCCCCGCTCCCCGCTCCCTCGCTTCGAGCACCAGGCCAGCTGGCGGGGGGCGGCGACTGCTTGGGGCACTTGGCCGCAATCAGGGCGCCCACCTCGCCGCTTCTTTCTGCTCGCATCGGGTCGTTCGATTGAACGCCGGGAACCCGCGCCAAGTGCCGCAAAGACGGCGCATGGCGCATGCTGGCATAGGCTGTCAAAAAAGCCTGAGAGCACATGGAGATAGGAGAAATCTTTCAGTGACAATAGTGACACGGAAAGAATCGCGGAGCCTGGACATCCGTGCGCAGTTTCTGGGACCAGGCATCCTGCAAGACGCAATGGCCATCCCATTCACCAGGAAAACGTTGCTTCCTCGAAGATGAAGCGCAGGGCTGCGTTCTCTTGCGGCCGTGGAACAAAAGGCAGCGCATACAGAGGTGAGAGACCTGAGAGTCCCAGAAAGTGAAGTGCCGACTGGTCACACTCGATCACGTCAAGAGATTCCATCTCCTCCGGTGTCCATGATAGACAAGGGGCTTTGCGCCGACTCAGCGGCAGAGGGCTTGGACGCTAAAAAGGCCTGCCCAGGAAATCAAGCGATCTACGCAGCCAGTTGCCGCAATACCCAATACAGAAAGGGGCCCCTTACCCCCCTGAACACCCCCCCCCTGTCACACCTCTTCTTTTGAGAAGTTAAAGCAACTCTGGAAGATGCTTGAGCCGCAAAAGATGCACGCACGGGCCTTCAAGTCCGTGAAGTCTGGCTCGGGCCTCAGTGATTGCATGCTTGCTCCATTGGCCTGTCTTCAGGCTACGTGGCCAGCCGGCAGATGGAACATGCTTGCGCAAGGAGTGACAAAGCAGGAACAACTCAGACCGCAACCAGAAAGTGCAACTCTCATCATACACATCAGGTGCCTGGGCCGACAAGCCTCTCCGATTGCTTGCGGCACGCTATGCAGGGGCTCGACATTGCTGCGCTCCACACGATCCAAACTTCAAAGCCTAATGAATCAGGGAACCCAAAGCCGCTTCCCCTTGGTTTCTGAGCCCACTGTTACGCGCCATCACACAACTACAAGCTGCGCAAGTCTTGGAGCCACACAGGGACGCCCTGTCCAGTGGCATGCGCATGCCCAGGTGATCTCATCACTGCCGACCATTTCTTTCCCCCAAAGGACACTTGGGAAATTGGGTGGCCCCATGGGTACGTCCTGCCCAACTGCCCAGTGGCTTGGCGTCGCTCTCTCTGTCTCACACACACACACACACACATGCATTCCGCCTTGCGGCTCTCGTAAATGCCAAAGTACACGCGCAAGCGCAACTCCAGCGAGCATCTGAGCCAAAACCCCCTTTTTCAGCTGCTGTTCGCTGCTTGCCTCCGTTGACCTCTTGCGATCCATTAAAAGCAAAACTAGAGAGAGAGAGAGACTACCCGCAGAACATACACGACAGTCTTTTGGCTTTGGCCGGAATGCCACCCACAAGCCTTGGAGTGATTTCCTCTCTGCAGCAAGGGCACCCTGTGGGGCCGCCAATAGAATCGGGGGGCACCAGGCCACTCCACAGTTGGAAGAAGTTGTCCTTCCACGAGTCTGCGCATGTGACAAGGTGTCTGCGAGCTTCGTATGGGGAATGTGTGCCTTTCATTCACCGCTTTTGAGCTGACAAAGAACACGCAAAATACACAAGTCTGGCGAACCATTTGGGGCTTGCGAGCTCGACCAGCAATGCTATGCCGCTTGCCGTCAGGTTATTGGAAGCAGTCCCGCTGGCCCTCGTCAAACTCGCGAAGCGCCTCAGTCTGCCATGTAGCTTAGCCGTGTGACAGTGGGGTGGGGACTTCAACTGGGGACGCTTTGGTGGACATCACTTACATTTCAATTTAAGCCAGGCCCGCAGGTGCGCATGGAACTGATTGGTTTGAATTCACGGCTCCTAAGTTCTTCATGTTCGCACTTGTCAATAGTGAAGGATGTCCCCAACAACGGATTTCTGTCCTTTAGGGAATTGCGGTTCATCCAAGAGACAATCCTCAGAGTTTCCATCTACATGCTGGCTGAAAGGGAAGCCTCGGAAACGAAATCTGCAGCCCTATCCCCAAGGCGTGCGCATTGACCACCGACAGCTCCATCTGCCCTCTCGGCACCTCACGGTCTGGAATCTTGAAGGTACCATAAATGTGAGAGGGAGCCGTTGCAAGCAAACGGCCATGGTCGCTCGCTAGAAAGGAGCTTCAGATCTGAGGGCCGCACACAGGGCTGAACTCCTCAACAGCAAAATAGAAGAACAAACATGCCAGGTACAGCATGGTACAGCCAACTGAATCGCTCGGTCGCTTAGTTGGAGGCGCAAGTCACAGGCAAACACGTAAAGGTTGCAAAAGCGAGAACTAAAGCAAACAAATTAGAAAGAGGAATCAGTTGGAAGCGGCCATCAAATGCTATAGTATGTCTGCGGATCACTCAACGTGAGCCTACACATCTCAGCCCGTCCTTTGTCCTCAGATTGCCCCTTCACATCAGGCACCTTCAACAACTTGCAAACGTCAATTAGGAGTTCAAACAGAAATGCGTTGGATGCGCTCAGACTTTGATTGCATGTCCGTCTATATTTGCGCGCGCGCACACACACATGCAAACACACACCACACACGCTCACATATGTGTTGAGCTGTTGGCTTGCATTGCACGGCAAACATGTGTGCGTGTGTGGGCGTGTGTCTCTGTGGCAAGCTTTCAGAACAGGCAAAACAACAATCGCGTTTGTAGCCAAGTTGCACTCTCGCTTGCGCAGCCAAACATCTCGCGCAAACCGGTCTTTCCTGAGGCAAGTTTGAGTGCCACGTGGGCGCCTACTTGAGGGTACCCTTCTTGGAGGTACCAAACAAAAGAGAAACCAAACATATGCGACCCTTTGGGGCACATGTACGCCCTGTCGAGCAAACGACTCGCGTTTGGCCAAGTTGCCCAAAGATCGCCTCAGCGCGCCCAGCGAGTCCTCCAGGGAAGCACTGACGATTCTTCCAAGAACCGCACGTTTTGTTTGGATTTGTGCGACGCAACTCCAGGGCCAGGATTCCGGAATTGCCGTTTATTCTTGAACAAGCCTCATTTGGCTTCAAGCATCTTCAAACGCACAGCGTTTGTCTCGAACCTCATGTTCTGTTCCGGTTTCGGCGACGCTTTGAGCGACCCATATCGTGGCACCGTGTCCTGCAGGTTGTGAAACGACAAGTACTCCTGAATCGCCTCCACCTCTGCACCGAACCACTGCACACCGCGTTGCTGCACCGAGCGTATGTGCTCGTTTCATTTCCTCGCCCGCAATGCGCCCTGCGCATGCTTGAAATAGGAAGCCGCCCATTTTGGGGGGTCACCCGGTTTCAGACACGCCTATGCCCGAAAGCATCTTGTGCTGGGCTCCCGAGCCACGAGAAGCTCGCAGAAGGCTCCACCATAGTTACCTAAGAAGGCGCTTGGACCATTGCCTCCCGCTTTTCATCCAGAGCCGTTCTTGTCACAGGGAAAAATAGTGTCGCAAAACGAGAACATTCCCAAGAACTCGGCAAGAAAGTAAACTAAATATTGTGATTAAATTGTTGAGGTGGTGCTTGATTGGGGACTTTGCCCGTCGGCCAAGGAACAGTCGCGCAGAACTGGCTGTGACAGCATCCACGCCTGGACGAAGCGTGCCGCAGCTTGACACCACTGCAACGGCGCTTGGCATCTGTTGCCCAAACCCTGAAGCTTTGACCGCATGTCCGCATGCTCCTGTGTTCTTTCTATCCCCAATTCGAGCAACCCAACAACACTTTGTCCTCTGCGCTTCACATGAGGATTGATCAATATTCCTGGCCCCCAAATGACCATGGGTAACTGCTTCCATTTAGTGGGAACTATCATCGTTGTAGTGGATTTACCCAATGATCATCCCATGTAAGGGACCTTTTGATCAACCCCCACATGCGGACCACTGGCCTAGCGTCACTGTCATTTCTCGGCCCGAAGGCGTTTGTCGGGCAGGCCTGTGGCTCTGGCTTTTCGTCTTCCGGCGCACATGGCGCAGCCTGGCGCGCGCGCGCGCCATGCATGCTCGTCCGGTGAGCATCACCGCAAGGAATACCGTAACTGATCTGTAGGAACTGGAACAGAGGAGATGTGGGCTCTTTCGTTAGAGCAAGTTAACTTCAGATGACCAAGGGCTTCGCTCAAATTGAAATGAACAAACCAATCTCATCCAACTGTAAGAGCGCTTCTCCCCAGTTTTTCTGGACGAAGCCAGGCTCAATGGTCTTGTTCTGGGAAGCCACACTGGGAAGAGGCCGGATTTGTCACACTCATACTCTGGAGTCTGTGTGCCGTATACCGGGTATACCGTTGCAAGGCTTGGCTACAAAGCTGACTTGGCGCAGTTCTGTCTCAACCCGCCGAACAGAAGGAGCCGCTTCCCCGTCAACCGAGCCAAGTGCCCGACCGTATTGGCTTGGGAATGGCAGGCTGCTGAATACGCAGCGTATAAACCAAAAACTTCTCAAGCCAAGTCTTGGATTGTCAGAGTCGGGCCGCAGCGCCCACGCGCTGAGGCCCTGGCCCCAGCAGCCAGATCTGGCTCCGCACCTGGGTCCAGCTAAGGGGAGGCAGGGGCCGGCAAACCTGGGGGAATTGCTCGGTGAGAAACCCATGAGTCACAGTCCGAGCTGGAGCTCAACAATAGACATGACCTCCTTTGATCTTCAGAAGACTGGCGAGGCCGCGGCTGGAGTGGCTCTGCGCGGTGGATCTGTCGTCCTCAAAGGTCGAATGCATGACCCGTATAACTTTCTGGTGGGCCTTTCTTCGTGAGCCAAGAGGCCCAGACAACCAGCTGTGTCAGTGATTCAACTCAAAGCACTCAGCTTCCTGGCCTCGGCACCCATGAGGAACAGGCCTGGACTTGCGCAGCCATATCTTTGGCGGGTGTCCTTGTTTGAGGCTCGGAACCTCTTTCTGGCGGGTTTAAAGGGATGCCAAGGAAGACGAGCCCATTTATCCTCCAGCTCACTTGCTCTCGCCTCTGAAGAATGGCCATTGGCGCCTCTAAGGACACGGTGCTAAAGCAACACGAGGCAGGAGTGTCTGGCACCTCACCTGGAACCTTTGGAAAGAACACCAAGACGCTGTGCGATGTATTTGCCTGGGCAAAACGCTGCGATTTCAAGAGCTATGCTAACAAGTCTAATTGCATGCGCCAAGCTTGAAGCCGAGCAGAAGGCTAGTGAAGTTCAAGACACAACTCGGGGCCATGTTGCGGCGAAAGGCGTCTTTTTGGCTCGCGCAGGGTCTGCCGGCACCTTGCTGCGGTGCTTTTCAACCACAAAGACCTCCTTGGCAGAGAGGCTGGCCGACAGGGGCAGGGCCTCCGCTCTGTGGGTGACCTCCGCCAGGCACCAGCTCTGCGTCGACGTCGAGAGGGGGAAGAGGGTCGCCACTTTGTGCGGCGGCAGCCCTTCTGCGACCACGTCATCGACGTCCTCGTGCCTCCGAATGAAGGCTCGGAGCGCAGCCGCCAAGCCGTGGTGGTCCAGCAGAACCACCAGCCGGGCACCGACCTCCATTCGCGGGAACAGCTGCAAGAGACAATCTTCCAGCGCAGTCTGCTCCTGTCGAATTTCTAGGCGAAGCGCGTTCATGGCCGCAGCAGGAGCAGGCCCGGCCGGGTCAGCCAAGCGAGCGGATGCCTGCGTGAACAAGCGCGTCATATCTGCATTCACCGTCAGGGGCTGGTCCTCACGTGCCGCCACCACCACCTCCGCGAAGCGAGCCCACAGCAGGTCGTCCTCCTGCTCGCCGTACTTCTGAAAGATGCGGCACAGCGCCTCCGGCGTCTGTGCCCGGAACCAGGAAACCGCAGAGGGCGGCAGCGCCAGGCCGCGGAGGTCCAATACCGCGCCAGCCAGAGGTACCTCTGCCTGCAGGCTCTCCATCACACTGCCCAGGTGCCGCAAGGGTTGACTCCGCTGCAGGCAGAATCTTGGCTCCCTCCGCAGGGCCGCAAAAGCAAGCCCAAAGCCGGCGTGCAGCTCCAAGCGGAGATCCGGTAGAAGCTCAGCCACTGCAGATGCCACTTTCCAGCTTCCTCCATAAACCAGCACCTTGCCCGCAGGAGTAGGCAGAAGCGATCGTGCCAGCATGGAGTTCATGTTGCTGCGAAAAATACGTTAAGCAGGCAAATATAGTGATAGACTGCAATCGTCAGCGGCAGTAGCATTGCTCTGCATCTCTCTTTCTCTCTCTCTCTCTCTCTCTCGTTCTTTTGTTTTTCTCTCTCTCTCCCTCTCTCTGTCTCCCTCTCTCTCTCTCTCTCTCACTTTCTGTCTTCTCTCTCTTGCCCTCTTTCCCCTCATTTGCTGCAATCGAGCAGATCGCTTACTCGCCGATCGTCGCACCCGGATTTAGGTGCCAACGATACCATGTACAATGGAGGGTGTCTCGGACATGGCTGAGGGCCTCCCAAAAGCACTAAAGTAACAGCTGACAAGGGGGATTTCTGTAAACAATCCTCGCACGTCCTGAGTCTCACTTTCTGCTCCTTATCCGACGGAAAGCACCTCCAACGATGCCACGTGCTCTCGCACTCATCTAGTTCATTGCAGTTTCATCATGTTGCCACACACACACAAACACCAAGCACGACATGCGTATTCCAAATAAGCCAACAAACAAGCAAGCTTGTAAACGAAGAATGAGAAGCAAATAGCGGTCAACAAAAGGTTGGTGGTGATGCCCTGCTGCAGGCATCGGCGAAGATTTCGATGCTTCAAAGGACTCCGCGGCATGTCAATGTGTGAGATGTTTGATTGAACTATGCCATGCTCCTTGTCATATATGTAACAAAAAAAGACTCAAGTGACAGCCAACACCTCTGGGGAACATCCAAGGGGGTGCTGCTGCCTGGAGGCTTTCGAGGTGAAGCATATTGCTTCTCCTGCCAAGCTTCCAAGGTCGGCGGACAACTCAAGCTGGCGCAGGCCAACTGCAAACGTGCCTTGAACCAGCTCTTCATCCCAAAGCCCGCAAACACACGCACAAAACAAACATGCCAACAGGTAAACCACGCATACACGTACGCGTAAATTTGCGTGCAGAGACACACACACACACACTGCGATATTACTCACACACACAGATATATACGGAACAATAGGCATGCTGAGCTGAATCCATCTCGTCTCGCGCTCAAGTTGATGATCGGCTCCTCCGCAAGCTCCTTTCGAGAAGATGCGCCTCGGTTCAGCCATCAAGCCCCCGGCAGTTTCCATTGAAGTGACGAGTTCGCAGCATCTTTCTAGTGTCCTGTGATGCCACGTGCAAGCTCCTCTGCGGAGAAACGGGGGTTGATAGGTCCGGGATGACCATTGGGAAACCGAAAAAAGACTAGACCACGGTTGGCCCGAAAGCAGAACATCGCAAGCGAGGTCGGCCCAACGCTGCAGGATGCGTTCTTTTTCCCTACACGAAGCATTCGTGAAGCAAGCGCGAGACAGCACCAGGCAAGGTGCTCTGCGCAAACTGGTCGGTGCAAGTTGGTCTGCGCAAGTTGCTCTACGCAAGTTGCACTGTGCAAGTTGCTCTGCGCAAGTTGCTCCGCGCAAGTTGCTCCGGCAAGTTGGTCCCTGCAAGTGGCTCCCTGCAAGTTGCTCTGTGCAAATTGCGCTCCCTGCAAGTTGCTCTGTGCAAGCTGCTCTGTGCAAGTTGCTCTGTGCAAGTTGCTCTGCGTAAGTTGCTCTGCGCAAGTTGCTCTAGGCAAGGCGCTCTGCGCAAACTGGTCGGTGCAAGTTGGTCTGCGCAAGTTGCTCTGTGCAACTTGCTCTGCGCAAGTTGCTCTGCGCAAGTTGCTTTAAAATGCAAGTTGCATCTTGCGACGCCCGCCCGCGGACCAGGGAGGAATCGAACCCGCGACCCGCCGGTTCCGGGAGCAGGCGCGCGAACCACGAGACAACTCCCGAGGACCAGTTCGAGCAACAAAAGTCGCAAAAAACCTCGAGTTTTTGCACCTCGACCACGCCGATCCCCGCAGAGGGTCGCGCGGGAACTTTAGAAATCGCAAAAACCCATGGGTTTTTACACCTCGACCACGCCGATCCCCGCAGAGGGTCGCGCGAGCATGTTAGAAATCGCAAAAAACCTCGAGTTTTTGCACCTCGACCACGCCGATCCCCGCAGAGGGTCGCGCGAGCATGATAGAAATCGCAAAAAACCATGGGTTTTTGCACCTCGACCACGCCGATCCCCGCAGAGGGTCGCGCGAGCACCGCAGAAATCGCAAAAAACCATGGGTTTTTGCACCTCGACCACGCCGATCCCCGCAGATGGTCGCGCGAGCAGCGCAGAAATCGCAAAAAAAACCATGGGTTTTTGCACCTCGACCACGCCGATCCCCGCAGAGGGTCGCGCGGGAACTTTAGAAATCGCAAAAAACCATGTGTTTTTACACCTCAACCACGCCGATCCCCGCAGAGGGTCGATTTTCGTGTAGTGTCGTCGGCACTACCCCGCCGCCCTAAGAAGAGATTTTAACTCCTCGCAAGTCAATTGCACTTGACTCCTTGCACTTGCAACTTGCACTCGACTCCTTACACTTGCAACTTGCACTTGGCTCCATGCACTTGCAACTTGCACTTGACTCCATGCACTTGCAACTTGCACCTGACTCCTTGCACTTGCAACTTGCACTTGACTCCTTGCACTTGCAACTTGCACTTGACTCCATGCGCAGCTCGCAATGACTCTCATGACTCCTTGCAATGACTCCTTGCAATGACTCCTTGCAATGACTCCTTGCAATGACTCCTTGCAATGACTCCTTGCAATGACTCCTTGCAATGACTCCTTGCAATGACTCCTTGCAATGACTCCTTGCAATGACTCCTTGCAATGACTCCTTGCAATGACTCCTTGCAATGACTCCTTGCAATGACTCCTTGCAATGACTCCTTGCAATGACTCCTTGCAATGACTCCTTGCAATGACTCCTTGCAATGACTCCTTGCAATGACTCCTTGCAATGACTCCTTGCAATGACTCCTTGCAATGACTCCTTGCAATGACTTTCATGATGATGATTCCTTGCAATGACACCTTGTAATGACTCTCATGAGAACAACTCAAGTGAACCCAGCGGAAGAACCCTTCGCCATGCTTTCGGGAATAACCCAAAAAACACATGCTATTTGCCACTAGATGAAAAAGTTACCCATGGTCATTTAGGGATAGGAATATAGATCAAGCCCCAAAAGTTAGGCCTGCAGCGGGGGTTCCTTCCTTTCCGCGGCGCCTTGAGGGGAACCCGGGAAAGTGTAACCAAGGGGGCTGCCCGATCTTGAGACGCAGCTTTCTCAGGCCCCTGCGTTTTGCCGGGACCACGTAGGAGTGGCCGGGTGCACCCAGCAACCCACCGACGGCTGCCGGCCTCAATTCCAAATCACGACGTGGAAATAAATGAAAGGAATCTACCCAAAACCATGCAAGGACCTACACCGGCAGCCTGTTTTTGTTGTTGGGAACGACCCGAAACCCTCCAATTCCTAAGGGTCTTGATTTGGTTGTGTGTCCAAGACCAGGTGCTCTTTTGGGGATGGTAGCAAAACCGAGATCAACATCGAACTTACGCCAAGGAGGCTTCTAGCTTTGCCGCATGGCGTTGATGTGATCGGATCAACCAACATGATTTCCGCAACTCCAAACTTGGGGTAATATTTTTCGGACTTGGTTGGACTTGCTTCAGAGGGAAGATGAAGCAAGTGCAGCGTTCTGTTTTGCCAAAACCGAGGAGGTGCAAGCGTCGCACCTCGGGAATCACGGAGGGGCCACGGCACGGGGCAGACCACCAGCTGGCAAAGCGGCGCACATGTTCCTGGAGCCGGCCGGTAGCATGGCCCTGCGGAACGTCGGTCCAGCTTACAGGACAAATCTACGATGAGGTGGTAGGTGCCTGGAGCTTGAGCTGACATCTCCAGCACCGGTAGCGTTGCCCTGGAGTGGTGACTGAAACTTGGCCACTGACTAGGGCATTTCTATGACGCAAGCACGAAGTCACAAGACAAAGTATGCCGCGGGTCAGAGCCGTAGAGGCGCCTCTGGCGTGCTGCGTGTGTGTTTGGCGCCCTGCCTGACCTTGCACCAAAATCCACATTCCTACGCGTTCTGACACTTTTGCGCTTGGCATGAAGTGGGCGCGCGTTGAGCAGCGTTGAAGCGCTCAGCAGCCACGCTCATGTTTGATTAGCAAGCACTTTGCTTCCCGGCAGGGCCTTGCTGGCGACGCGGAGGGCGAACAGGGATGCGGCGCTCCAGCTCGAAAATCCCAACTTTTCAGTACAAGTGTAGTAAGCTTGCAGGAGTCTGGTGTGGATGGGATGCCCATCTCATTTTACAGCGACGTCTCAACCTTGGATACATAATATGCAATCGTTGGTTAATTCGTCGGGCGAATTCCCTCGACATGGCACAGACCCACCCTCCCTCCCAAGAACACGCACCTTTTGCGGTGTTGGTGGATCCTGTGCATTGATCTGGCTCCCTCCCCCACACATCTTCAGTCTTTCGAAGTGTGGGGGGAGGGGCCTCAAGAAACAACTTTGCCGCCGGGTTGGGTGGGTGGGAAAAAGCAAGGTATGGTGGTGGTGGGCCCTTGAGCCAAAATGGCCCACGGCCCACCACCACCCTTGGAGTGCAGTAATGTCACGCACATATTCCACTCCGCGGGCTCCATTCATATGTTTCGCGACATGGCACAGACCCACCCTCCCTCCCAAGAACACGCACCTTTTGCGGTGTTGGTGGATCCTGTGCATTGATCTGGCTCCCTCCCCCACACATCTTCAGTCTTTCGAAGTGTGGGGGGAGGGGCCTCAAGAAACAACTTTGCCGCCCTTCTCCACCTCCTTGCTCTGGCGCGGCTTACCCGCTCTTACACTTCAAGCATGAGTGGTCGGAGGGGAACAAGCCACCATGCTGGCGTTGATGTGGATCACGGAGCCATGCACGTTCTTCATTAAGGATGGCAGCTCACCGTTGCCGGCTTCGACCGTTCTCCTTCCATGTCCTTACCTCGGTGTCAAGCTTGTCTCGCACGGCGTCCGTGCCCAGCTTCAGGGGATTCCTTACTGCATCCCAACCCGGGCCTTCGCTACCATGTCGAACCGGGCCGCACTTATCATTGACCGGCATGGTTTCCAGGGCTTCTTCAGCGTAGCTGTAGATAACGTTTGATTTCCAGCGGCCTAGGTACGCGACTTGTGGGATCGCCCAGCCCTGTCTGATGTAGGTCAGCGCTCCCGTGCGTCGCGCAGAATGGCCACCAACCCTCATGCCGAAGACCTTGGCCCAAGAAGCAACTACCTGCGCCTTTGTTGCTACGTCGCCGCTGCCTACTTTGCAAAAGGCGTCATCAAGTTCCATGACCTCCTGGCCGGAGTGCACCAGTTCTTGGCGTTCCTGAATGGGCAGTCCCAGCCACAATCCCCCTGGCAAAGACACTGCAGGACCCGCCTAACTCCTCTGGCCTCTTGATCCTTCTTGCTCTCGTGCAGCACCAGCGTGACCCTCTTTGCCGTGTCATTGACCAGCAAGTCGCCCTTCTTGAGTGCGGCGATCTCCGCTTCCCTCAACATCCAATTCATTCCCAGAATGAAGATCTCGATCGGGTCCGTCAGGCGCCGCTGTGCTTGCCACCTCTTGGGGAGTTGTGCCCCCTGATCTTTGCTCTGGGGCCACGCCTCTCGACACCGCCATAAGGCACTGCCTCATGACCCTAGCTAGCAAATCACTCCACGCCTTCCCTGCCTCGACATGCATGAGCTTGGCTTCTGCGAGGTAAACGTGGGCAGACTTGCAGCCGGCTGACTTCAGGCTTGCCGCTAAACACTTCACCTTGTCAGCATCCAGAGGTGTGACCGCGAAGCCCGCTGATTCTGCTATGCGCCGGACGGTGTTCCTCCTTGCTGCCTTTGCCTTTCTAGAAGAGTTGGCGCAGAAGTCCTTCTCCAGCTCTCTGATGGCCATCTTCCTTTTCCAAGGGTCTCTGATGGCCTTCAGTGCCGCTTCTCTGTCGGTCTTGAGGCCACTCTTCCTGACCGGGCAGTCCTTCCTACTTTGGTATGATCTAGGCGGGAACTCATGGTTCTTGTTGCCCGGCTCCTCCGATGACTTCTTCGGGCTCAGCTTGCCTGCAATCCAGCTGAGAGCTGGCCTCACCCAAACGCCTTTCGAGGGCCCCCCGCTGGCTGGCAGTCCCGTGAAGCCTGTCCTTTCCTCCATCATCTTCCTGACCGCCAGGAAAGGATGTACGCCGAGGATCCCTTGACTGCCCCAGCACCCTTCTTCCCCCTGTGGGCTCAAACTCCAGTTATCCTTCCTGCCTGCCCCCCTCAAACCTTCGCCACGGGGAGGTTGCTCAGGGGAAGGGATCACTGGGTGCAGGGGTCTAACTTCTCCATTTGATCTGCCCTGGGAGGCACCTTCGTCAACTCGAGCTCCGTCAGGAAATATGGTGCCTTCGTCACCCCGTGCCTGCTGGGAAGGTGCCCGAAGTTCATGATGTGCTCCTCCTCCTTTTACCTGATCCGTCTCGGCCTCCGAATTAGCCGTCCCAGGTTCGGGGAGAACTTCTCTTCCTCCTTCAGGATGGCTTTGGCATTTGCTTTTCTTTGAGCGTCTCCCCTCGCCCCCCAAGTCGGCGCTTGGCGAAGCTGCGAGGGGTTGTCTCCCATTCCGTAGTTCCCCGCCATGGAGCCCTCGACCGTGATCCGGTGCTTCACTGCGAGCTCGCTGCTTTGGTCGGCGCAGTAGCGTGTGCATGCCTCGCCCGTCTTCCAGACCATCTGGACGACCCGAAGCAACCCGATGCCGGCAAGCAGCTCCCCATCGATCCATGGCTGGGCATCTACGGGCTCATGGGCCCAAACCTCAACTTCTGACCCCGTCATCGAGCCCCTCTGCTGGCCGGCACGCGGGAATCGGTTGATTCGAGCATGATGCAACGCCAAACCCCTTTGAAAACGGGGGGGGGGACCCTTCACCTCGATTTGCCCTAGGGTCCCCTCTCCCTGCCTTCCTTACCTACCTGATCCTTCCCTTTCCTTCCTTAAATCTCCACAGACCCGACCCCTTTTGCCGCCCACGGCAGGGCGTCCAGGCAAAACGGTGAGGCGGTCCCTGGCACCCTAGGCCCGACAGCCCTCAACCGGATCCTCCACGGCCACCTGTTCCACAGCGGCGCTTTCCTTAGGCACGCTGCCCCACAGGTCCTGCCGCAGGCCAGGGGTCACGTCCCTGCCAGCCACCGGCCTGATGTTGATGCCTTCCAACTCCTCCGGCAGCTTCTCTGTGGCCCTGCTGGCCGTCGGGATGTAGACCCTGAACCTGCTGGCCCGAAGTGCCTTCTTGCCGTAGGGGACCCACACCGCGAAGTCTGCATAGGGAGCTGCTTTCAACACCTCGGTCCTGCGACTCATAGCTGAGAGCTGTTCCATCGAGGGTTCCTCTTCTTCGGGTGGGAGACCGCCTACTACCTTGACATAGTTCGCCACCCACAGCGCCCTCTTTTCCTCCGGCTCCACTACGAACTCCGTCTCGTCGCCCTGGTCCAGGATGTGCGTCATCTTCATCTTGGGCTCCAGGCTCTTCTGAACTACTGTGCCCGCGTCCCCGCCATCGCTGGTCTTGACTGGCGCTTCCCAAGGGTGTGGGTCTTCCCACTGATCCCAGGACCCATCACGTGGTAGATCCTCCTCGATCAACCCCACCTGTGAGGCCTGAATGGCTGTCAAGGCCTGACCTCCATTGTCCGCGGACTCGCAGGCCAAGGCCACCATCGCAGCCGGCAATGCCGCAAAGGGCCGAATGTCCTCGCCCGGATCGCCCATCGCGGCCGTCACTGCCTGCCAGACCGCGAGGTCCACCTGATAGTGAAGCCTCAAGTCCGACATCGTGCGAATCCGCATCGCCTCGGCCTCCGTAGGGAAGGCCGCCATGATTCAGGACGAACGCGAGGAGCACCCAAACCACCATCAAGCAGGAAAAAAGGAAAAAAAAAAGCAAGGTATGGTGGTGGTGGGCCCTTGAGCCAAAATGGCCCACGGCCCACCACCACCCTTGGAGCGCAGTAATGTCATGCACATATTCCACTCCGCGGGCTCCATTCATATGTTTCACAAAAATAATAATTTCGAGGGACCGACCAAGAACCTCGCCCCAAATTGGCTTGGCTTGACAGAATGACTTTTAGCGAACTGCCACGAGTCCGCCATGTCTCTCCCAAATGGGCCATAGACTCCTGGTCATTTTGACCGAACCTCTACTGATTTGGAGCCACAGCAGGGCAAAACCGTACAGGGCCACGACCTATGGCTTCCCTTGCCATGGCGAATCAGTGGACATTCTGAGAGCCGAGCCCTTCGATGGAAGCATGGCAAATCGCCATATCTCGGACCTGGAGGGCGAGCATTCCATCATCTGAAGCCACCCATTGAATCCATGTGGCCCAGTGTGCAGCCCATCTTGCCATGCTTTGCAATTTAGTTTCGCATTTTGGCTCTCTGGAAATCCGGTTCAATTCTGCAAGATTTGGCCAGCCGCCTTGTAGATTTGGTCCAAGGGCGTGTACCTGACACGCGACATGGCACCCCCGTGTTTGTCCCGGGTCCAAGCGGTTCCCCCAGAAAGGTCTGTACTGAGCTGCGTGCCAGTCTTCAAAGGCCTTCCAGCCATGAAGATCCAGCTTTTGGAGTCTGCTTTTGCCTTTGGCAAGGCCCGGGAGTTTTTCCAGTTTTGCTTTTAGAAGAAACCACCAGGAAACAAAAAAGAAGAAAAAAAACACTTGCTGCCCCAAAAGCTCAGCCCCAATGGACTCTCCCAAAGTCTTGGGCGCATGCACTTGGGAGTTCTGGGCGCAAGGGGCCGGCTGAGAACAGCGCATGGTCCTTCCATGAGCACCTGGGGCAACGCTGGGGGGGATGGGGGAGCATCTGCCCGACCCTCCCATGAGTCGCAGGGGCCAACAGCCATCGTACCCTTGGATGGGAAAACAAAACAGGAAAGGTTCTAATCTAGATATTATATATATATATATATATATTATATATATATATATAAATTATATAAACGTATCGGATTAGTTCTTGCAAATTGTGGACACGCGCATTTGCAAAGTCAATGTGCAAGCACAACGCACAGGCCTTGGTGTCTGTAGCACGTGCCATCATCTCAGGAGGCTGCCTGGGGATGAGAGCCAAGACGGCACTTAAGGCCATGCGCCCTGCACTGGCCAGGGTCAATCTTTCTAGGGGTAACTTCCATTTCCATTCTTTCCAGCACAAATGCTGGGGAAATGGCTGGTTATTGAAAAGAACGACCCCTAGAATATTCGTCACGTCTCCCTGTACTTGATGTTGGCCAGTGCCCCCTGTCGTCCCTTTCCCTACAGCGTATGCTAGTGAACATTCATGTGACCTTGGGTTGAGAAAGGCATGCCATCAGCTAAGGTGAAGACGTACGGGATCCATGTCATTGCAACGAGCGAATGGTCAGGAACAACCGTGTCCCAAAGGATATGTAATGCAAGTTCTGAGCGTCGTCAAAATCAACGAAAACCATGTGTGCCAACACTCCAGCAGCTCCCAATTCTCGCTGACAGTCCCAGCATCAATGCACTAAGCAGTCATCCCACTAGCTAAATTGAATGAACATTGAAAGGAACCCTATTCTTGGGGATCGTTGAATCATGGCCATCCTTTTTGTGGAAAATACTCCATACATTGCTTTGGGAAGGACTCTGTCTATCCCACGTTGGCGGGTCACAAGCACCCCTCTACGAAATGCAACGAATAGCTAGGCCTGCAAACACAACAGCGTATCCCTATCCTAAGGTGCAGCTTTCCTAGATATCGCGTTCCCGCGCAAGGGGTGTTGATTTCACTTACACTATATACTCCCTGAGGATCTTAATGTATTGTTCACGTACTAGAGACTCTAGTGAGAAAATAGCCGTTGAGTCAATTTTAGGGGTAACCAGAAAGTGAGTGCATCTGTGAGCCACTTCGCGTGACATCCCAGGCACCCGGGCACGTCCACTCCGAAGGTCCGCAAAAGCTCTTTGGCCCTCGTCAGCCACTGCTCATCCTCCCAGCCTGATGACTTGCAACAGGTTCAGGATGGTTCAGGCAGCAGGCCGATTCTTCACGTTTCAACCGCTAGAGTTGTTCAATCATGAGGCCGCGGTTTAATCAACATGGGGCTGAGCCAATTGCTCATGAGGCTGGTCCCATTGTTCAATCAACCTCCTTCGGTTTCCCTCAAAACGCCGTGGTCTCGTTTCGTTCAAAACGGCGCAACGCCAGGCCGGAGCAGCTTCAGAACAATCCACGCCTTCTCCCGTCATGCAGACCTGGCCAGATCAGTCGAGGGGCGATTCAGTACGTTGGATGGGGCTCAACAGGTTTCCTCCGCATCTTTGGCCTGGCATGATGTTACGGTTGTCTGAATTTCCTTCCCGGAAACGCGATCTTCGCGGGAACCAAATCACTTTTGAACCTCCATCACGGAGCTTTCGCGGGGCTATGTTCACAACATTCACAAAGTGGCACGCGAAGTACACTTCCGCAGGGCCTCGAAAGTCGCAACTTTTCAGACACAAAGCGCGCTCGCAAGCCCTGCAGGGCAAAAACAGAGCCCGTTGGCCACCTTTGTCCGGAAACCGGCAAAGAGGTCCATCTTTCGCGAAACTTTCGCGGATCTTTCACCACTTACCCCTGAACATCTGGCTGGAAAGTTAAGATCAACTGGACCCTAAAGCCTCAAACCTCCCACAGGCTGCTTTTTGCTGCTGATTACTCTTGCAGCGGCGCATTCTCGCTTTCCTCCGACTAACTTTAGTCTGTGCATTCTGTCTGCACTGCTGGTAAACACACATGGTTCATGATTCCATCTTTCTTTTCACTTACACAAGACTTTCGCTGAGGGCAACACTAAGACAAACACGTCTTCCCCTTCATACCTCAATACAAGAACCTTTCGGACGACTGCTATAATATGGATGTGTGTTCTAGTGGACCCCCAAACCATGTGGTTTCCCTTGTGGTTTCCCTTCAGAACCACCAAGAAAGGGGTTCCACCCCGCCCCCAAAACAAAAAGAAAAACACCGATCCATACCTCGCAGCCGACTCCAACGCGAACGGCCGAGTGAGGCCTTTCTGGGAGGCGAAGGCCGTGGGGGCACCACCGGCATGGCGTCATCAGCCTCCGTGACCCATCCGTGCGGGGGAGGGGGGGCGCTTGTTGTTTTTAATGCTGGGGTGGGCTCCAACACGGGTGGTTTTCCTTTTGGTTTCCCTCTAAACCAAAAGAGGGTCCCCAAAAAAGACACACCCAATTGACACTCCATGCTCGCTTCGGCAATGTGACGGCAGCTGCTCGCCTCTGCACTGACTGTGGACCTGATTTCTGCAAACCCTCGGCAAAACAAGCAGCGGGAAAGAGATGTGATTGCAGAAGCTGACCACGTTCCACACCTGCGAAACCCTGAGTGGGGGAATCATTGATCACCACTGACAAACAACATACTTGAAGTCAGGTATCATGTAACATCCTCCTTCGGGAATTTCGCCGTTAGTTGGGGTGCAAAAAAAGTCCACGCAGGCTGCCGCTGGGGCATCTTTACGCCAGGGCACTGCGTCCTCAGGGGAGGCTCAACCTCAGTCTTTGGCGCTGCCAGTGGGCGCTGCAAACAGAATGCTCAACTCTCTGCACCAAATGTTGGCAGCCTCTGTGAGGCAAGCCCGTGATTGCAAAGCAAACGCACAAAGGCTTTTAGCCCATCGAACCTGCATTCGCCACAAACTCAGCCAGTGTGGCATTGGCTGATTCGGCGTTGCTTGTGAACTCAGCCAAATGGCCGAATTGGGCTTGACGCGATCAAGCTTACACGTGCGAAACATAGCACCGGCGAGGGCCAATGCACTTGACACTGCAACCCCGTTGCAGGCCAATCATTTGCAGGTCGCATAGTCAATCTTCAGAACCTGAGTCCGTGCCAGGACAAACACGCACTTGTGATGTAGATCGATTGTTGGGGAATACTGCAACTGCCGACCTGTGCCGACATTCACAATGAATCAGCAGGATATGACGGCCAATATTCATTGTGCACCCATGTGACGCAGGATGCGAGTGAGTAACACCAATCTCCCACTGGCAACTTGAATTGTGTAAAGAATGTCATCGCCTTTTCTGTGGTGAATGACGGGATGAATTTTCATTTTTGTCCATGTCCTCCTTCCGCTTCTGGTGCTTGGTTACGTCGGCTGACGACAGTCAAACCACTTGCGGCCGAGCGTCTCCTCGTCGGAGTCGTCCTTCTTGGCAGGCTTGTTCTTGGGCTCTGCGGGCGCCTCTGGTAAAAAAGGAAGAGCCATATGAACTCCAATTGACGACCCTTTGGTGAACATCATTTACATGGGGATTGATGTCCACCTACTTCTGAGGGTGCTCCCCACCAAAGTTTACGGCCACATCACAACATCAAGCCACACTGCACATGGCAGCTGTGCAGGCCGTGCTTTTCTAAGCATCTCACAGGCGGACTTGCGTTTTGCGCCTCAGCATCTGCTTGACGCAAGGCTCTCGCAGTAGTTAGCAATCAACTCTGCAACTGTATTCTCTGCTCAAGGATATTGGCAAAAGCTCGCGTCTTCTGGGTCACTAGCTGGCGCGGCCATTGCAGCCTGCACGGCAGGAGTGACCCACAATAGCTTCTACCGTTATTATTTTGAATGCTCCCAGTTCACAACATGCAAGCTTTCCGCGAAACAGTTCATTGGAGCATCCAATCCCTCACAATCTTGCTCGCTCGTGCTGCTAAAGTGCGGGTTGGGTCACTTCTTCTCGCAGTTCACAATTGCAAAGCTCCACTCCGTGAGCAGAGAATGGCTGATACTTACTGGCCCTGCAGCTTCTGCCAAAGGTCCTCTGGCACCAAGGTTTGATCCTTCTCTGGCGGCGCTTGCCCCCCAAAGACATGGAAACCTTGATGGACAACTTCGCAAGGCGCGCCTGCGCCGGAACCGCCTGGGCTGGCTCCTAGGCGTACTTTTGCGAGATCTCAAGTAAAGGAGAGCCTGCTTTTTCGAGCCCAAAGGACAAGCAGTCACGCTGAGAAGGTTTTGGGGGTGCCCGAGTTCTGTCAAAGGCAACAGATCCTGGGGTGGTTTGCAACCAGTCGCCTGGTTTTGGCTTCGGCTTTGCATTTGAGACTCTAGTAGACTCGAGTTTGGTAACCCAGCCCCGTGCGCAATGATTTCCCGGATCTCCCTCCTTATCATACGAGTCTCATGACCTCGCCCCGAGGGCCAACAGTGAGCGCGCACACCATTTAGCAACATTGTCCCATAGCATGGACTGTAGCTGAGATTTTAGCTCAAGGGCTTCCTGCTTCTGCAGCCCGGTGCCTGTGCCCTCCCTGTTTCCTGCCTGTGAGTCAGAGGCTGCCAAGGGAGCGGAGCCGACGGTGACTGGATGTTGCATCTGGCAGGAGTGCAAATGATGATTCGGAAGCTATTCCTGTTGAAATTGAACGCATTTAACAGGAATTCCTGTGACTCTCCAGCAGATTCACATGGAACCCAAAAAGCCTTCATGTTGAGAGGAATCTCCTTTCGGGGACCCCCCCTTTCCGTATTTATTCGCAGGTACGAGTACACCAAATGGACACCTTGGAGAAGATACTTGGGATCCCCCTACGCCAATCAGCCCTTGAGCTATGCGGGGTTGAAGGGTCGTAATGGGTCGTAGGGCAGCTCCATGAAGCGGGGTAAACTGTGTTGCTTCGCATTCGATCTAGTGCAATCATTGGCAAGAGCATGCCCCAACTTTACAAAAAGTGTATAATATGCTTGAAATACATGTAAAAGAAAGGGTCTGTGGGTTGGCTACAAGCAGTCAACAGCCATAATAGTATGAGAGAACCGGGCCCTGCAACCTTCATTGGCACTGGTGGGCTAAGGCAACCCCCTTGCAGCACTCGCTTGGCGTACCTTGCCTGCTTTGCCTTCTCCACATGTCGCGCTTCCTGTCATTGAGAGTTTGGTGCAAGCTGCATCATCCGCAAGTCAGCGAGAAAGAAACATGGTCTGACTGAAAACGTCTCATATATTCACAACGCACTTGCGTATACTGCACGCTCTCTGGTGGTCATGGCCTGCGTGATTGCGCAAGGTGCGCAAAAGGACACATACATACAGTCACCACAAATACCTTAGCTGCAAGCGACTGGGCATTTTGATGGCTGCGTGTGGCAAAGGCTCGAACGGAAAGGCAAACACACACACACACACACACACACACACACACACACACACACACACACACACACACACACACACACACACACACACACACACACACACACACACACACACACACACACACACACACACACACACACACACACACACACACACACACACACACACACACACACACACACACACACACACACACACACACACACACACACACACACACACACACACACACACACACACACACACACACACACACACACACACACACACACACACACACACACACACACACACACACACACACACACACACACACACACACACACACACACACACACACACACACACACACACACACACACACACACACACACACACACACACACACACACACACACACACACACACACACACACACACACACACACACACACACACACACACACACACACACACACACACACACACACACACACACACACACACACACACACACACACACACACACACACACACACACACACTCACACACACACACACACACACACACACACACACACACACACACACACACACACACACACACACACACACACACACACACACACACACACACACACACACACACACACACACACACACACACACACACACACACACACACACACACACACTTACACACACTTACACACACTTACACACACTTACACACACTTGCACACACACACACACGCAAAGCTACAATTGTGCTGCAATCCACATGCAGCGTGCTGCTTCCCTCCAGAATGAGACACCTCAACTCTGAACTGTGAGTGGTGCCAAGTAACCCTGTCCCGTGCCGAGATCTTTCATACCGAAGCCTGCGCAAGGGCACACTGCAGTTGGCAACCATTGGAATCGATTCACAATCGCTCAGGGCAGGTTTAGGGTTAGCGGTGGTTCGGGGTTGCTTAGGATTGCGTAGGGTTGCTTTGGTTTGTTTAGCATTGGTTGAGGAAGCGAGGTGATTCCAAACCAAAACGTGGTCACAAGTGCAGCAAACATCCTAACGAAGACTTCGCCGCCCGGCCTTTGCGCAGCATCTGACGACCGTAGGTCATCAAGGCCACGTTGATCAGCAAGAAGAGCGGCAGCAGAAAGGTGGACCTGGGCTGGGGATCCAGCATGAGGTTTCTCTGCACCCAAGGCTTGACTTGTGCTCTTGGGGCGCAGAGACTAGCGTTCCGAAGCTTTGCGAAGGTTTGCTCATGCTTCGCGCAGTGTCGGAGCTGAGTCTTCGTGTTTGCTCCTTGGCCCGATGGCCCGATGGCCTGCCTGTGGGCTCTTGCGAGCCAAGCCGCACACTGGCTTTGGCGTCATGCTCTGCTATCCTCCGTCCAAACAGTGTCCCGCCTTGCGCTCTCAGTGCTGCAAAGCTTGTCATGTTGGCTGCGTAGCGCGCAAGAGGGACATTGTGAGCCATGGCCTCTGTGGGCAATAGCACCATTCCCCGGAACGAATCAGATGGCATTGAGTTCTTGCAACGACACCAAGCCTCAGATGGGTAATGATGAATTTCAACTGGGGATCATCTGGTAACATCATTTACTGGGAGTTCTTTGTTTCTTAATGTCAGCCAATCATTTTGAGGGTCTTCCCATTAAGGTCTGTTCGGACAAGCTACGCCTGAATGAACAACCAGAGCAGCGTCGCAGGCCAAAAGCTGATGATGCCAGCCATTCCCATCGTGTCCTGAGATCAAGTGGCAGCTCAAGACATTGAGAGAGTGTCGTGGTTGAAGCCATTTTTGCTCAATATCTCGAGTGTTCCCAGTCTCGTTTTCCAGAAGGCGTCTGAGCACAAAGGGTTTCTGCTCCAAGACTCTCCCCAGCGAAGAAAGGGGCAGCAGCAGGAGAGCCAGAAAATTTGCTGGTCCGCGCAGCAGTCCCAGTAACCGCTC